GGGGGGGGGGGGGGGGGGGGTCAAACAGATCTTTCACAAACAGATAAAGAAACAGAAACAGGACAGCTTTGTTAACACCAGATATATATATAAATAAATTAGTTTAAACACCATAGGTTCAGTCCAGAAAGATAGCACCAATATGTACAAAATTTCTTGCAACTCGTTTATTTTGGTAACTCATACCTGGCGTTATAATCTTGAGTATTATTTACAGACTACCTTCCTCTTCATCTACAGCATATAGGTTTCACCTCTTCCTGGAAACAGTTCTGATTGCAGTGATTCAAGTGAATTAGCTGTTTCATTTACAGGAGCTCCCATTCAGAATCAGATGCATAACTAGTCGATACGTTCTTCCTGTCCAACTTCTGCGAACTGCCTGTACTGAATTCCAGATCAATATCTCCATACCAGATTGCTAGCTGTTCATACTCCTTTGCCAACCTCTTTTTGGAATTGAAAGCCTCCTGGATTCTCTTCTATTTTTCAGAAAGTAAAGAACAGTAGATCAGAAACTAAACATAGAATCTTTAGCACTTTTGGTCATTTATGGAAAGGCAAAGAAAAGAATGAACAGATAAAAATGATGGTATTTCAAAGTGAATGTTGTTTGAGGAGGCTCATGTGTGTAACTTTAAATGAGGGAACGAGACCTTGTATGAACGGAGCTTTTGCGTTCTGCGAGAGATAGCATGGAAAGCTTTATAGTCGACGCTGTCACACTCGTCTTTAACAGTCACCGGATGTCCCAAATCCACTGTTTCCAATCCAGCATCCGAAATAGAACATCTGGAATTGTATGGACGACCTGAGAAAATATTTTAAGATCATTGTTAAACTCGGAAATGAAGGGGAGGGGATAAAAGCTTTTCTCCGATTTTTGTGTCGTCGCTTCAGAGGTTTCGAGGAAAATAAAATGAATCATAACAATTATAGATAACAGAAATGAATTGAAAGAATAGTACATAACGAGCTACGGGACGTGGCTACTTCAGTCGAGAGACTTAGTTTCCTAGAACTAGACGATTTCGAAAATGCAACCTGGCTAGTGGTATGGAATTTAGGATGAAATGCACTTTCATTGGCTCTTGAAGCATGGGTCCCTGTTGAGTCATGAATTGTTTAAGAAAATCAGAAGAAAACACAAATACTCCTCCTAGGTTGAAAGATAAGAGTACAAACCAAGTGAATCGATAAATGATAAGGAACTGCTGGAGGAGACAAACTTCATCTCCAAAGTCTTGTTTTCAATCGATGCATGATCGACCCCTTCAAAACACAGACGAGATTCATATTCAATAGATGCACGCTGATCAGCCGGTTCTTCAGGGAAAAAAGTACAATTAGAAAAGTTTTGAAGGGATTTCAAAGAGGAGACTGGCCTCGTCTCTTCTACAGTTTCCCCACGAGTTAAAACCTGTGACACGAGTTCATAAGAAGTGGCGTCTGGAGCATTAGAACGACCAGTTCCATTTTCCAAGTTCTTGGGAGTTGTCTCCAACTTTGGTGAGAAGTGAACTAAATTATTTACCAAGATGCTAGAAGCTTGAGTAACATTATGAGCAGATTCAGCATCTGTACCGTGAATCGAAGTTAACGGTGGACCTCTAGTTGAGGTCACAATATTCTCTTCACATTCATTATCAATTCTTCCTGGCTTCAAAAGCAAATTAGAATCATCAGCTTCTTTACTAATGAAGTTTGTCTCACTCCGTTCATGGCTAAGACGGTCGTTGTTCAAATCATCAGTAGTATTAGGCTCGATAATGACACCCTTCTTTAAAACCTCATCTGAGTTTTCATCTGACAAGTCGTTGTCGTTCTTCCCTGAGAGTCTGGATGATTCCAAAGGTGGATGAGAATTATCCGAAATAAGAATTTCTTCTCCGTTTGTAACTTTAACTTGACACGACGTACAATCAGCCATATGCTTCAAAGGATCACTAGCATCGAACTCCATGGCAGTATCCTCTTCAGACTTCTTTCTTGCATCTTTATCTGTTAAAACCTCATCATTAGTCCCTACTAAATGTACATCGTCGTCCAATTGCATATCAAAGTCATCATGAACTGAAGAAGCTCGTTTATTCGTATCATTAGTTTCACTAATATTTCTCGGTGAGCGACTCGAAGGAATACTAAGGGACTGATTAGGAACTTTGGCAACTTCTTCATCTACAAACGTAACTTTACAAGACACTCGACTGCAGTTATCTAGCTGATCAGTACTACCACAACCCACAGACGATTTATTAACATCATTATTTGCATCTTTTCCATATGCATTTACTGGAACATGTCCCCTCCGAGCCGCTGCTTTTGCTTCATATTTCATGGAATCCTCTACACGGGGAAGTAGACCTTGAACAAAACCAGAGTATAGTTTCTTCACATTTTCACTTGCTGAACTAACCTGGTTTTCGACATACTTAACCGTATCCTGTGCATAAGATCGGTTTAACAGATTATACTTACTAAACAAAAAAAGGAAGCAAAACTCAGTGAAACATTACTAAATTGCATGAACTTTGAGCCACACACACAATCAACCCAATAAGAAAGTCACCATATGAGCTGTTTTGTCAAAATATTGAATCACTGAATGCAAAGAGTATAAGAAATGGGGATACCTGGTTCATAATATTATCCATTTCCTGACAGGCTGCTTCAAATTTCTGGAACATGTTTCCAACCCACATATTAGCTTTATATCTAAAATCCATTTTTGTTCACCTGCAAGATTCATAATCCTTAAATCCCAAGAAACAGGACAGCTACCTTATTTCTCCCCAACTCTGCAAATATTTTGTTAATCATCATTCATAACAGCCGTAACATATCCTCCTTTCTCCACAGTGCCAGTACTGATTTCCAATTCTTTTATCCTCTTATTAATGCAATTAAACCCACTTAAACATGTTGAATAAGATTTAAAGCAAAAAAGAGATCCTCCGAGACATTGGAGCCATGAAAAAACCAGAATTCTCGGTTTTGATCAGCAGAATTATGTTGTTTTTCCAAAATTCAACAACCACAGCACTTAAAAACGTATAAAATTCAATTATTACGCAACATTCACGCAAACTGAGTGTCAGTATCAAAAGGGGTTGGCGATCAAGAGTAGCAGAAGAAGAAAAGGTAATAAGAAAGGAACCTGAGCAGCCCGTTGAGGTCAGTCCATCATCGTTGGAAACCTGCTCTTTCTCCTCGGCAGCCGCAGAAACAGGGTTTTAGCTTCTTATTTTTTTCAATGGCAGAGAGAAAGAATATCACAGGAGGTTTTAACTTTTGAAGTTTGCTCATCATATTCAGATTAAGTCAAAACTTACAACTACTTGCTTTTTTAAATATATATATATATATATTTTAATTGTTGGCTTTTAACATGGTTCTAAAAGAACGGAATTTTATGTTACGTCTCACCAATATATTAAAAATAATTAATTAACTTGATCTTAAATGGTTTTAAATTCATGATTTTTTTAATTAAATAAAAATTTAACATTTTTTCACATTAAATATGTAAAGTACATTTTTTTAGAACATTGAACAAATATAAATTTTCTGGGGTCGAGTTCCCACGGAGGAATTTCTTCTCCATCTTATTAAAAAAATTTATTGCAAAATATTAATTTAAAATATTTTTTTAATGGTTAATTTTCTTTTTACCCTATAATATCTTATGATAAATTTCATATAATCTTAAAAATAATTTCTAAAAACTCAAATTTTAATATTACAATATAACATTACAGGTAGCGTAGATATATTTCTGTCACCCTCCCTATTTAGCTAACAAAAAAAATCTCTTTATATTCTCTTTCCTTTTTTTTTTTAGATCTCTCTATGGTAGACATGTGAATCCATGCTCGATCGCAAGCTGCAGCACAGTTGTCGTGTAGATTGTTCACCCTCTTTGTGAAAATCAATATTGCTATCAGTTGCCTTCCGAAGGAGTATCGCCATGAGGCCTTGCAACGGCTCGAGCTTCCTTCATTGTCACTCGCACATAGTTGAGCCAAATATAGAGCAGCCACACAAGCACAAGTTGCAGGACAAATACAGCCACATAGAAAAGTTATTATAAACCTGCGGACGGGATAATGTCTTCCTCAAGCTAAGCTAAACTTTGTTACAGAAATATGTCACTTCCACTGAAAAAAAAAAAAATGGCAACTACCTCTTCGGGCAACACCAATTTAGAAAGCCCAATTCAGAAATCAAAAAGGTGGTGTCGTACATAATGCAATTTACCCATCACAAAGCCAAGAGGCTTCCATTTCTGTGTGTAATCTATTAGCAGTAGAAACTCTATACTTTGTGCAACTAGGTGACTACAATAAGGAAAAGTCAAGTCGCACACAATAAGCAAATAGCCTGATGTCTTCCAATAACCCCCCGAATTCAAGGCAGCAACCAACGTGACTACATTATAAAAAAATGGTCCTCTATGCTTGCATTTAATCTCATCAAATTGCCCAAATGCATATATAATTTAATTCACTGAACCACAAATACAAAATCTAATGTTTGGTTCAAAAGTATTAAATCATCAATAGGTGCATCCATCCAAGACCAAATGAGTTGCATGCAGCACAGAAACACAGTCCTAACACCAACGAAAAAAAAAAAAAAAAAACAACCAACAAAGGAACTGCAAGAACGGACCCTGCCACAGTATCCTTCTAATCACGAGTACAATTACAAAGAGAGCTGGAATACTAAAATCGTTACACGTGCAAAAGGCAAGCCTCTCTTCAACAGGTAGCAGACATACCAAACCATAAGAGCATTAACCACTTCCCAATGCTTAAAATTGTAGAGAGGGCTTTAGCCCAGCAAAGAGAGGGGGGGCACAGAAATAAGCGATCACTTGTTAGACTATTTTGGAAGGGATGAAACCAAAAGCATATTAATTGTAGACAAGTACAAAAACACCATGGAATGATTTCTTTCTACAAGCACTCAAAAACATCTAGAAAAGAGGTCACAAAAGCAAAGCCAATACATTCACCAAATCAGATCGATAGTCGGCATTCTACGCAATCAGGTGAAGCACATAAGCATCTGCATCCAACAAGATAAACTGAATCAAATACCCAGGTTGAACTTGCTTCATCATCCCACCTCATAATGCAAAGGGAATTCTAATCTAATTCAGGATCAAAATAATACAAACAACGTCAACATAACAAAACAAAATGGCATACCATCTGACATACAGAAAATGATGAGTACAAAGATACAAGTTTCTTCCTAATCATTAAAAGTTGCAAATCCAACATCAAAATTCAAAAGGTTGATCAATAATTGTCTGTCAGCCATAGGCAAACTTGTTATCAATTAAAGAAAGAAGATGCAACCTGAAGTAAAAACTTCGTCACGGACTAAAATTTAATGGTCTACAAAAAGGAATGAAATAAATAGAAGCAAGAAAACAAAAACATGGGTAAAAGCTACCAAATTCTTTTCTTAAAAAAAAAAAAAAAAAAAAAAAAAAAAAAACTAACAAATGAAATCATACAATCATCAGGTAAGTAGGCATCAAAATTGTTGCCATAACTTTAATACCAATAACAAACATCTGAAACTAAATATTTATTAATTGCCAGTACATATGAAATGACAAAAATGAAGGGTGCAAGAAGAATAACTAAAAGCTATATTGTTCCTAATGATCAAGGGAAAGTATTAGCCAATATAAAGGTAACCAGAAAAATGCCTGAAATAGATCAATGGTACGTAGGGGCTCCAAAATCATATAAATAGAACAGGATTCTACAAGAGATGGGAACAGGAACAGACAACTTCGAAAGAAAAGCAAGATGTTTTCTTTAAGGTTATGCTTTATGCCCTGAGAAGTAAACCTTGCCCAGAAGAATAATATAGAATTATTAAAATACAAATAGGAAAGCTTAAACCCAGTGAAAGCCATCAAAAAACAAGACAAAAAGGCAGGAATGAGAGAAGAAAAAAGAACAAAAAAAACGTGTGGGAGCAATGCACCCAAGAGTGTGAGGATTGAAAAATAAGCATGCGGAAATAACATTAAAAAGTGACGCAAGCATATAAAAAAGAATTATCTTTCATCATATACTAGTCAATAATTATACCAAGCATAAAATTCCAGACAAATAAAAAAGAATCAATACTGGGAAGGAAAAACTCATTCAAAACATTGAAATGAAAAGGCCTGCAACACAGTACCGCTGGGCAAAGGAAAATTCTCAAAACAATATATGACCAGGAAACATAGAGAAGCCATGGAATAAGCATAAAAAAACAGAGGAAAGACAGGTAAGATCTCCCTCTACCAATTGTCTCAAGAAGGACTTGCATATTGCCAGCCTTCCACACACCAAAAAGTGGATGAAATGAAATTTTGAAAAGAGAATCTCTACCACTTTTGAGACCAACTTTGCAGATCAATAAGAAAGCACAATTCTACTCCCTGGCAAAATAGCATGAGCACTACAAAAGAAAAATAAGTATCTCCTGGAGCCGATGGTTTTACCTAAAAAAATTTTCAAAAATCTTGGAATACTCATGAATGAATCATACATAAGTATCTCCTGGAGCCGATGGTTTTACCTTAAATTTTTTTCAAAAATCTTGGAATACTCATGAATGAAACATACATATGTCTGATCTCAAAGAAACTGGATGCCCACACTGTTGCAGGGCACTGTTGCAAACTCTCGTCCCATAAACCTCATGACCGGTTTATATAAAATCATAGCAAGGGTATTATCAGAGTGTCTTAAAAAGGTTCTCCCCTTCACAATAACTAGGCAACAAACAGCTTTTGTAGAGGGGCGACAAATACTTGATGCATACCTCATGGCAAACGAACTCATTGATGAATGGGAAAGAAAGAAATAAAAAGTAGTCATTAAACTTGACATGGAAACGACCTTCGACAAGGTTGATTGGATGTTCCTCGAAAACATTCTTGTGGAAAAAGGCTTTGGCTCAAAATGGCGAAGGTGGATTAAAGGATGCATCCCATCCACAAAGGGTAGATATAAGGTATGCATCCCATCCTGCCTTTTTGTGCCACATGGGGTTTGAGACAAGGAGATCTACTATCCCCTTTTCTCTTCATCATGGTAATGGATTGCCATAGTCACCTACTGGCAAAAGCAGAATACGAAGGGTAGATATAAGGTTTTCAGATTGTAATGAAGGCTTGAGCATCAACCACCTTCAGTTCGCAGACAACACAATTTTCTAACTTGGCAGATGCCTCTTCCATACAAAACATGATCGAGATGATAAAAACTTCAGAAGGATTCTTTGGAAAAAATATCAATCTCCAAAAAACAGAGATCATGGATATCAATATTATCTATGGAAGAATTTGCTAGCATATATGGTTGTAAAAAGGGAGAATGACCAAATATATACCTAGGACTACCTCTAAAAGGAAACCACAAATCCTTTTCCTTCTAGAAGATTATTATTGCAAAAATAAAAAAAAGGTTGTCAACGTGGTCATCATGTTAACTTCAAAAGGCAGAAGACTCACCTAATATAAACCACATTATCCAATCTCCCCACTTACTACACATCTCTATTTGAAATGCCACAAAAAGTGGTCGCACATTATTCAGAAACTACTTGTGGAAAGATGACCCATACCTTGTTCGATGAAATATTATAAACCTCCCAACACAAAATGGAGGCCTTGATCTTCTCTCGATAAGGAAGAAGAACAAAGTTCTCCACGACAAATGGATATGGAGATATCATCATGGAGAAAAGGCCTTGCAGAGAAATCTTATAAAGGCTAAATATACTCCTACATCAAATGAAAATCACCCCCCTCCATCTTCTATAAAAGGACCTTGGAAGTACATAAGGAAACATTAAAACCTCATCACCAACCGAACTTGCCATAAGGTGGATGATGGAAGAAGCACATCATTTTGGACCGACCCATGGATTGAAAACACCACATTAGCCCTAAGGTATCCACTTCTGTACAGGCTCTCTCATAGCAAAAAAGTCACGATCAAAGAAACGTGGAATGTTGTCAACAAATTTTGGGACCGAAAGCTTGGTAGGAATTTAAAGGATAATGAAGCAACATAATGGGCGAATTAAGCCTTGACCTTGCCCTTGTGGTATTGTCAAACAAAGCAAAATTGTTGATTTGGCTTCCCAACGCTGACGGGGTCTTTTCTAAAAATTCCTTGATGATGGACATGGCAGAAAAAGCAGAAGCAATAAATCTCAGGCTAACAAAGATAGTATGGGAAGGGCATCAACCTAAAGAGGTGAAGTTCTACCTTTGGAAAATAATGCATAAAGCCATTAGCACAAGTGAAAATCTTAAAAAAAGAACGTCTTACATCACTCTTTCTCCAAATTGGTGTCCATCATGTAAGAAAGAAAACGAATCACAAAGCCACTTGTTTATGCAATGCACATATGCTCATAATTTCTGGACAATGATTCTCAATATATTCAGATGACATCTCACATATCTGAGGAAGGTAAAGGATCTTTTGGATATGCCTTAACATACTACCCTTTCAAGAATGCATAAACCCTACTATGGAAAAACCTCATCAAGCCATTTGGAATCTGTGGAAAGAAAGAAATCAAAGAATATTTGCAGAAAAACACATAACTACACAAAACTTTTTGACAATGTTGTTTACCAAGCTATATCTTGGTGTAAACTATCAAATATTTTTACTTCCTATAGTTATACCTCCCACATTGTAAATTGAGAAGGTCTTTTGTAAACCCCATGGATAATACATCCCTTTTGTAAATTTCAATCATCAATAAAATTGTCTCTTATGAAAAAAAAAAAAAAAGAAATAAGTGTCTCGTGAAAAATATGACCTTCTGCATTTTTATATTAGTATCTAAAAACTTGGAACATCAGATGTTAAGGAACAAAGATAATGCAACAAGGACGTATAAAATTTGAATGACGCCAAAGTAACAATACAAAATTTAAAGGTGCTAATAAATCATATCCACAAAAACAATAAAATGGGGTACTAACACTAACCAGCATGAGGCAACATCACAAACCCTTGATTTAAAAAAAAAAAAAAAAAAGGCAAAGAAACAAACTACAATGGACAAGTGAAATAACATCCCAGGGATACAACAGACAAGTTTGTGAACATGCACAGTTTGGACCTTCAAATAGTAAACGAAGAGCCATTATGGATGGAAAAGGAACGGACAATGCAACAATAAAGAACATAAATGGCATGCTTGAAAATTACCTCAATAAAATGGCGGTACATTAGGGTACATGCCCCCAGGCGTCACTCGGGGCGCCGGTGATGTACCCGTGGTGTGTGGGTGCGGATTTAGATAACCAGACGAAGACGACAAACTATATGGCAAACTATCTGGATAACCATTAGAAGGAACTCCCCCAGAATTCGGGGGCAACCTGTACAAAACAGATCCCGTTCCAGCACCAGAACTTCCCTGGCCGCCGGCTGGACCAGCACTCAGACCAGAAAAGCCAGTTGACCCAGGACCACCGTAAGGGCCGCCGCCAAGCCCACCACCATACCCACCAGTACCATTCAGAGAATTTTGTGTTTGACTACCCATAGAAGACAAGCCTGGTCCCAACGACGAGTTCAGCGTATTATGCCCAAGCTGTGGTGGACCATGGAGACCTCCTGAAAACCCACCGTATGATCCAAGGCCGCCAGGTCCCCCATACTGTCCACCCATTGAACCAGGCATCGGAGCCTGCGAAGGCATACCCATCCCATCTCCATGAACATTACCTTGATTACCAACAGAGCCCTGAACGCCATCAGGCCCAGAACCTCCAGGCTTTCCCTTCTTTCCATCATTGGCATATTTACAGCTTACTTGTCGCCCTTCAATAGTCTTAATCGGATCCACCAACGCCGCTTGTGCACCCTCCGCCTTCTTGTAGACAAACAATGCATAACCCCTACACTTCCCCGTCTGCTTATCGAATCCCAAAGGCCCTTCCTCAATCTCCCCGTACAGAACAAAATGCGCAAGCAATTTATCAGCAGCCATGTCAATCGGCACATTAGCCACGTAAATTTTCCTCATCGACACATCGGGGGCGTTGGAGTTAGACCCAGTATTTCCTGCAGCTGCCAATTGAGTCACAGTGACACGCCCATCAATCGTTTTACTCGGTTCTTTCAAAGCCAGTAGAGCACCATCAACATGCTTAAACGTAACAAACCCATACCCTTTCGACTTCCCCGTGGCCTTATCTAAAATAACGACGGCCTCTTCCAATTCGCCATATATAGAAAAAAGCTTCCGGAGACCATCGGTCGTAGTGTCCCAACCAAGCCCACGAATAAAGAGCTTACGCTGAGCAACATCTTGATCAGCAACAGAACGTACTGCGTCAAGCACATCCGAATGACAGGAAACCGCGTCTTGAAGAATGTCGATGAGTTGATCCGGAGTGAACCGTTCGATGATCTTGCGAGCATCTTCCGGTGAAAGTTTTAAAGACGAATCGTCGGAGTCGGTAAGAGGGACGCCGTTTTCGTCCATCTTTCGCTTCTTAACGACGTCCATGGTCGAGTCAAGAACGACGTGGTGGTGGAGGGAACACAGGAAAGAGAGCGTAAACCCTAAAGAAAATCCTACAAATTCCTAAACAGTGACGACGGAGTCGCCGATTGGTAAAATGTGGATCTTTACAGTCCGGTCGTCATTTTTTGGGCCTTTTGGGCCGATGTAAAAAGTGGGCCAAAGCCATATTAATGGCCCACCAAATCTTTCTTTATTTTGAGAAATTAATAATATTTAGTATTTTTTATGACGGATTTATAATAATTAAATGATGTTGGCTCACAAATATATTCTAACCTTGAGTTTTTTAAGGATAAAATTGATTGGATCATGAATATTCAACAAAATCAACCTTAATAACACCAAATTGAGCTGAACTCACGGTTTGAATGCCTATAAACTAAGTTCGATGAAATTGTTTGATACAACAGATAACACATATAGAAAGATTCAAGTCTCTAATTTTTTAATCAATGACACATGCCTTAATTAGTTGAGGTTAGATTAGTAATTCAAACATTTGACTGACTTACGTACACCCTACCATACATTTACACAAATAATTTGAACCAATTCAATAGAGTTACTATTTAATAAAGGTATTTGTCCGGAAGTTATTTATTATTATTATTTAAAAATTGAAAAATAAAAGTGACAACCACAAATGCTCCAATAGTATAAATTAAACAAAACTATTGAAATAATACCTAATTGGATAAACATAATAAAGAACCAAAAAAGGAAGCAAAATCAAAATGGGGAGTCTCCAAAAGCCTATCCATTCGATCAAGTAAAATCATTACAAAGTTACAAAATTGAGAGATGGGTTTTGTTTGTGGATCCTCCCTCCACTTCAATCCAATGAGTTGTATTAAGAAAAAAGGGGTTTCTAAAAATAATCCCCCAAAATGGAGAAGGCAGAGTGGAGTGTGTTACGCATTGGGGGATGAGAAAAAAAAAAAAAAAAAAAAACTCGAAAATGGGGGAAAGCCCGAGTGCCGAGAGAGAGAGAGAGAGAAGGCGTGAGGAGAAACGGTTTTGGTGAGAGAAAAGGCGAGTTTTTGTAGAAATGGGTTTGTCATGCCATTTGTTGTACTTGGAGGGTACTGTTCAGTTTCTCAAAGTTATCTTGCTTTCTTGGGTTTATGACCAACCGTGAAGAAGGTACTGCTGCTGGCCGATGATGAGGATGCTGATGGGCAGAGGAAACGCTGCTTCAGTTCCTTCACAACGGTGCAATACCCATTTCCATTTTGTTATCTCTTAGCCCTAATTCATGTCTTGATTCTTGATTCTTGATTCCGTTTGCATGTTGATGGCGAATGTAATGCCTAGCTGAGGTGTTTTTTTGTAGTGGGTTTGTTGTGTTTTTTGTTCATTTTAGCTTATATGGTTTATGTGAGATGTATGATGGATTTTGATGCGTTTTGAGCCGGAAACGAAGATTTCTGCAAATGGGTATGAAAGGATTCTTTACATTTTTATTGTGTTCTTCTCGTTTGTAAGATTTATGGAAAAATAGTAATGTTGTTCAGTGATTTATGAGTTTTGGATTTAGAATAGAGAAATTGACACTAGGACACTTCGGAAATGGGAGGCTGATACATGTCTGTCTCGTTTTCTATTCTATTCTATTTGAAATCCGGAGTGTCGAAGAATGCTGGCTATGAAGGGGTCAAGCAACGCTTCCTTGTCTCTCGCGACTTTGCTTTTGGTTCCAGTGAAGGAAAAATGGGGGTGGAAGTTTGTCTTTCTTTGGACAAGTAAGATGAGAGCGTAGAAATGCCACTTCTTAACGTGCTTGTAAGATTTATGGACGAAGAAAGCAGAAATGTCTCTAGCTCGGTAGTCATTTTTTAATGTTTTCGTTTTGCATCGATAAACATTATGGATTGTCTGGATCATTGATGCAATTGACGGATGATCTATGGAACTGTTATAGAATATGGAAGTGCTGGTAACAACGGGATTTTGTCACTGGCTTTGTGTTATTTCATCGAAGGGAAAATGGCATACAGAGTTTGAAGTAGTCTGGAATGTCAAATTTCTCTTTAAGGCTTCAGCAGCACAAGTGTTAGATGAGTATATTTTAGCACATCGAAATCCTTTATGCCTATCTTATCTGCATATAAAAACATTTTCTCTTGCAGTTTTTCGAGTACCTTCCCAGATGCGTTCGTCGTATATTGCACTCACATTTAATTACATTCTACCAGCAGACACTCAAAACGTCCCCCCTTGTATTGTGTTTTTTGAACAAGAAACCAAAATTATCATTGAACAAATGAAAAAAGACTGATGCTCAAGGAAATAAACTCTGCAAGGGAGTGAAAGAAGAACGAAATAACCAAGAAGTATACAAAAACAAAAGAAACAACAAAGCAACCCGATTATCGTTCCAATTGATTGCACTATCTTTTATCCACATTCAATGTCTGTTGTTGTTTGACTTGTGTCCTTTCAATTGGATCTGATTTCAGTTAAACGTTCTTATTTTTTAAATGCTTGAAAGTAATGTTTGATTTCTCATGCTACAGGTCTTGCCTTCTGAAGTAGTGTATGTGTAGGGTAGACAAGTGAGGGTCGAAAGAAGGTTTTTGGTCCATTCGTATGGATTTCCAGGATGATGGCTTTGAGGGTTCTGCGAATGAAGACATTATTTTTAAGGAGGTTTTCTTTGGGAATAGCTCTAGCCACTCCAATAGATGTCCTTGCAAAGCATTTAGTAATAAACATGAGCCGTGTAAGATAAATGATGCATCTTTATGTTCAAGTAGTGAACTCTCGCCAGTGTCCAGTCATTCTTATTCAAGAAATATAAAGGTTGATGAATGCTACAATGCTACTGAGAATATTAGAACCGGTTCTGCACCGTATAGTTTTCCATGCAAATTCTCTTCAGTGGAAGACAATTATGAGAATGCAAGTGCTAAGCGAATAAAACTTTCAACTGATGAACCTTCTGATTCTATACCCGATCTAGGTAAGGTTATGAACTCATCAGTAATTATAAGAGAACCTGCTTCTACATTCCACGTTGTAGAATCGTCTAGACAGGGTATTATATCAAGTTGCTACCTGTTAAAGGATTTTGTAGAAAGGGACAGCGATCTGGGCGAACCTGATGTACCCAAATGCACGTCGTTGATATTAGAAGGTCATGAACCCAATATGGTGAATAAAGTTAGTGCTTCGCCTGTTTCCGAAGAGAGCTCAATGACCAGACTCTTAGTAGCAAGTCCTTCCGATACATTCAACGAGTTTGGATCTTCATTACATTTGGAGGTAGGACAAATGAAATTTCAATGTCCAGAACTGGACACTTCCTTGAAGACAGATTTGATAAGGGATCCCCGTCCTCTTCTCCACTATCATGTTGTTCACTTACTTATTGCAGCTGGATGGTCTATCGAAAGGCGCAAAAGACCTTGCAGGCGCTATTTGGAAACCGTTTATAGATCACCCCAGCGAAGGCTCTTTCGTGAATTTCCCAAAGCTTGGAGGGTTTGTGGTGAACTCCTATTTACTGATAGATGTAGTTTTGTAAAAGAAGCTGACAGCAAGGAATGGACTGGCATTCATCAGTTCTTATTTGATCTTTGTGACACACTGTTACAGGTTGGGAAGGAAATGAATCAACTAGGAGCTTCAACGTCACTCGCTCATTGTTGGGTTATTCTAGATCCCTATGTTCAGGTTGTTTCGATTGACAGAAAGATTGGTACACTTAGGAAGGGAGAATTAGTTAGAGTTACCCGTAATATTAGGGTTATTGGGAACAATAAGACTGATAATTTTGTGACATTAACAAATGAGGATAGTATTTGTAACCTATCTGCTGACAAAAATGCACCTCCTCTCCACGATCATTCACTGTCTGCCAAGAGTGCATTAACGGAGGCTGCATTGAAAGATCTCGATGGTGGCAATTGTGCTTCTGATGAGCAAACCTGTGATACAAGTTTATCTAATTACTATGGACATACAAAAGATGGAACAATGAAATTTCCGACAAGGGTGTCTAATTATGTCTCCGATGTAGGGGATGGTATGAATTGCTTGGTCAGTCATTGTAGTGCACTCAAACCTAGATGTCCGCCTCGTGGTCCTGTTCTGTCTGGAAATTCAGATAATGTCATCCCAGTTTCTGGCCCTACATCTCCTTATGGGGACAGCGCTTTGTATAGCTCGGATGAACAGAGCTCTGAAAATCAAGTTGAAAAGCCTAATGAAATGGTGAAAAATGCACTGATGCATTCCCTGGGAGAAGGAAAAAAAGTGGAAGTTCCATTCAATGATAAGATGCAAAATAATATGGAAGAATCTCTGAATTACTGTCCAAACTATATAAGCGATGATTTATCTCATTCTTGTGCTTCACGGGTCGTACAGAAGTTTACACATAATGAAGAAGATGGGCAGCACGTTTCAACTTCAAAGTTCAAAACAGAGAATAAAGTTTTTGCTGTACATTCTAATTTGCAGAAGAAAGGGCGTAGAAAGTGTAAAAAGATATCTGAAATTAATCCTACCTTGCCACCTCAGACTGATATCGACATGAGTTGTTCTCAATTGGATATAATAGAATACCAGAAGTCCCATATAGCTGATACGAAAAACATGGACGGTGATGTGAAGTCCTTATATCTCAGTCCTATTTCATGCCATTCTGAGAGGAAAGGTTCAAAGTTCAAAAAGATTTATGACAGTCTTAGAGGTTCAAAAACGAGAAAGAAGAAATTGAATGAATGTCAAATTGAAGATGATGACCTATTAGTTTCAGCCATAATTAGAAACAAAGATATCAGTTCGAGTGCTGCTGGATTTTCCCCTGTAAGAAAGTTCTTAAAGCCGAGAGAAAAAACGAACCGCAAAAGGCAAAAGGGTAGTTGTAAGCTACTCCTAAGAAGCTTGGGTAATGGGGAAAAGAATTATAAAGATGGGAAGTGGTATACCATTGGGGCTAGAACAATCTTGTCATGGTTGCTAGATGCTGGGGTTATATCCTCAAATGGCATGATCCAATATCGAAACTCTCGGGATAATAGTGTAGTTAAATATGGTAGAATTACTGGAGATGGCATCATC